ATATATGAAATTATATGAAAATTTTGTATACAAAAGTTGTTTCCTAATTATTTTTCATTGCCAATAAACTACCACACGTCCTAAATTGAATTTTTGACTATTTCTGGGAAATATTATATATAAGGACAAAACTTTAGAAAGTTTACTAATGAAGGTCCAAACTTCATTTGTTCTAAATTGAGGATCTTAACTTTCCACTTTTTCTTTTCAAGGACTCAAATTCACCAACTTTACCATACAAGGCTTTGTTGCATAGAATGCTGATTTGGGCTTCTTAATTCCATTAAAGTGACCATCTTCAAGTGTTGATTGTCAAAAGAAAAAAAAAATTGCTTTGTTATTGATGACATGGATAAAAAATAAAAAATGTTGAAGAAAATAAAAAATTATTGCTGGTGCATATCATAATAGACCTAATAAAGACACAATAAAGTTTTGATTTTATCCATGTCATTGATAATAAGGTAGTTTTTTTTGACAATCATCAATGATAAAATAATTCTTTTTTTTTTCGACAAGCCAACACCTAATATGAGCCACTTTGACAAAATCAAGAAACTCACATTAGTACTCTATCCATCAAATCCTTATAAAGTAAAATTGGTGAATTCAACTTCTTGAATATAAAAGGTAAAAGAGTTGAAATCCTCGATTACGAACAAAAATAAGTTTGAATCCTTAATTAATAAACTTTTTAAAGTTAGAGTCCTTATCTGTAATATTTCAAACTTTTTAGGCATTAATTCATATGAATTCATATGAAAATTTAACTAAATATATGAATGACTCTTCTAAAAAAAATTTAAAAAAAATATGAATGACAATTGAAAAATTTTTTGTTTTTTCTGTATATAATTCTCGTTGTGTAATATAGTTTGGTTAAAAAAAAATTTCAATTGTTATTTATATACTATATCTTAAATTTTTATCTAAAATTAATATTCAAAATGTCAAAAAGTTAAATTAGGACAATTATACTTGAAAGAAGGTAGTATAAACTATAGATTGTTGGAAATAATTAAAGTGAACAAACCCTTAGTCACTCTCAAAATTTTTTACTTGTCATTCATTTACTATATAAAAGTATTAGTCAAACTAGTACAATTAAAAAAAGACCTGAAATAAATATATTATTGAAAATATAAAAAGAAGGGATGCATATTTATTTAACAATTATATAAATGTTACGTAATATTATATCATTGTAGACAATCAAATTTATAAAATTATTGATCATGAGCACTCTTAATAAATGTAATAAAAGAGAATCGATGGAGTCTTTCAAACACAATTAACTTGAAATTTGTCACATATGATCTATATTAATACAATTATATCAATCTATTGATTTGTTTTTCAAAATATTAAGAGTTTGTTTATTCATATACATAACTCTTAAAACCTTATTAGAGTTCTATAGAGTTTATAAATTTAATTATATACAATAGTGTTGCCTTTAAAAGGCTCTGTTGAATAATTTACAAATTTTAAAAAGAAAATTTATTTGACCTAGCATTAGCTAGTAGTAGGAAAAAACTATGCTAAACATTCACATTTAAATATGAGCGGCGGTAGACGTTTCCAACTTCCAGTTCTTGTATATGTTATGTTCTACCTTCAAGTTACTTGATTTGAGATTTAAGTGTAATAGCTGTAAATGATTGATTAATTTATATAAGTTGATTAATTAGTTTGAGATCCATTCTTTACAATTAAATAACTTTTGATTTATTAAATAATAAATGAACATTTTTTTAAAAAATTTATTGTTTACATTTGATAGATTATACAGAATTTTTTTTAATGGATTATAATATATGATTAAAATTACGGACCACTCTTTTCTGAAATTCATATGCATTTTACAACGTATATTTATGTTTGTTAAATTTTGGAAGGAATAAAGTGCATGGACACGTGATCTCTAATTGCAGAATTGAGGAAAAGAATTTGAAGAGAATGAGATTCAAAGTTAAAGACAATCCATATATTCCTTTCTTTATTATGAGAAAATTTAACTTTTAAAATAAATAAAAAATATAAAAGATATTACTCCCACATTGGTGGAATTATTCATGAAAAAACAAATTATGGATTTTTCTTGCCAACCAAGTGTCAGCAGAAAGACCTGGAGAATTCAATGAAAATATAAATGGAAAATGGAACGGGGGAGCAGTCTACTGGTAATCCATGGGAAAGGTCAAGTTTTAGTTCTGTTATATCCATTTCTCCACACAGCCCTTTACTGAAAATGCTTGTTAGTTTAGGCAAAACATATACAGATAGATGGTATTAAGGCAAATTGAATTTGGTATTTCTCGAGATCTCAATATATTCTTTAACCACTGACAATGTATCGGCACAAAGTCAAGAATTAACAGTCAAATTGGGGAATAGCCTATTTTTTATTTTTTAGAAAAAATAAAGAATAGCTCCAAATATCACGTATGTTGAATGCCAATCTTGGACTTGGGCGATATAAGAGTTTCCAGCATATCCAGGTGAAGAAATGTAGAGAATGAAATCTTTGCAAAATTGGATGAGGGTGCAAAGCAAGCAATTGCACCTCTAGGTATAGGTAGTTTCAGCTGATATGAAGTCAAACATGAAAGACAAGGCCGACATCTTTTTCACTTGACGTTATGTTCAAAATCTAGGATTTCTCTCAGTCCCGAACTCGTAATGCCAATTGGTTTGTTCAGCAACCATCCAATCATCAATCATCATCACAAGGCAAGCTTGGATAGGTTGTGTCAATGTGCCAAGTCTACAAGACATTGCATCCAACAGCTTTCTCATGTTAGAGCCACTTCAAGCACGTTAGATTATATTGGACAAGAACCTGTTACTCAAATAATCTCCACTTCAGTAATGTTTCCATAAAAGAGCAAATGTTCTATTAAATAACACATAAAGAGAAGCAGAAAGAAGAGCAAATGTTAAATCCATCTGGGTAATATCTAGGTCATAGAATTTGGGATTATCACATTCATGGCGCAAAAATGGCCTTCTAAGATGGTTCTAATAGTTTTAGCTTCACAGATTATATCAGGTAGCAAATAAAAAATAACAGAGCAGTATTGAATTTAATGATCTATCAGGGCACAATATTTTACTTTTGACACATCCACCCATCATCAATAAGCCAAAACAAAAGGCAACACTGTCAAAATTAACAGCAGATGATTAACCTCTAGTTCATAAAATACAATACCATATGATAAACTAAACAGACAATGGCATCTTTGTTTACCAAACTTCATCTAACATGCTCAATGCAGCCTATTATTTTCCATATTGGTTGATATGCAACCCCCCCTTTTTTTTGCCAAAAGTGGATATGCAACCTTAATTGGTGCAAATTAAAGTAAAAGCTTTTGTAAATTGGTATGGGCTGGCATAAATTCACAACACATGCACCAAGTGCACCATTTTTAGCATTTTATAATTCACAGGAGACTCTACAAAAGCTGAAGTGTATGCATGGGTTGGGGTAGGTAATTGTTTAAAAAGAATACAAAAAGCACCATTCCCTGCAAGGGAGAGGTAGGTCCATCTCACATGAGGCTGGTGCTTATGTAGATGTAAACACATAATTGAAATTATGTGTAAAATCCAACTAATATGTGATTAAGGTTTACCGGAGTTAGAATACAACGCATCATAAAATGAAATATGAATACATGTTACACATTGAAAAATAAAAGCCAAATGCATATGCAAGATCTTGCATGAATTGACCACATAGATGAGAACCAGATGTGAAAACAAACAAATTTTGCAACTTCCAGAAATAGGCATATTTCACAACATACCTTTCCCTAGGAATCCACCTGTTTGTGATTGAATCCAAAAAAGGCTTCTGCACAACCCTTCTTTTATGATGCCTTTTCTTGAAATGATGATGCAGGCACTGCATATAGCACAATTCTATTTTCATTTAACCAACAATTAAAAGGTAAAATAGACTTTGTAGTGCCAGAAAGAACTACACTAACCTTGATTGAAATTAGCATCAAGGGTGCAGGATGAGTGCATACCAATTGTTTAATGGAAACTGAAGCATATGCAAAAATGCAATGTCTGCAATACAGTTCAAGTCATCCATCATTAGATCTAAAATAAAGCATTTTATCAAATAGCAAAGTGTAGGTTTAAGCTTTATACCATACTTAGAGCCTGCTCTTTTACACAAAACTCAGCACACAGAACCAGCTGTAGGGCAATTCAATAGCATGACTGTGTCAAAGAAACTATCCATATAACGTAACAGAAAGAGGGAAAATGAAGATTGAGAAAATGTACATTAACTCAATCAAAAGAATTCTTGAGTGAATTAGAACTAGTCCAAAGAGCTTGATCCCATCCTGTCATATTTTCAGTCCCAAATAGTTTCTTGAATCGAGATTTCATTCTGCAAGCCATATAAGAAATGTGCTGCTAACCAAGAATTTCGTAAATAAAATGCAATAGAGTGTAATGGATTATCTCACAACTTCGAGACAGCTCCATTCATTAACAAACAAAAACTGCATATATATATATTAAATGAATCAGATAAAACGGAAGCAAGGAAAAAGGGATTACCACTTCTAATATTCTACCAAGAGTGGCAATGTTATATCCCTTTAAGACTTGATTTTGATCAGGCACTGGTGCTGGCATCTATCCACAAAATGTAAATTCAGATTTTATTCTAATTGTGACAACAATAACAGCAAATCCATAACAAAAACATTTATATTCAATCAAAGAAATGATCATCTAAGAAATTAAAGCTTAGAGCAAAAGATTGAAGATGTTGCCTGATTCTTACATGACCCAACTCCTTGTGTTACATTAAAAGAAAAATCATAACTTTAGAAAGGAACAAAACAGTACCAAAAAAAACTTCATCAGCCTTTTTTTCTTGTCATTCATATTAACGTATAAACAGAACATTTACTATGCTGAATTGCAAGGGATAAGAAATTGTCACTATAACAAGAAGGAACTAGATGATGGTGATAAATAGAACATACCCCAGAAAATTTGTAAGGTTAAGATCAGCATACTCAAGTGCCATCAAGTCAGTGCTCCTAAGCTTCTTATCAGCATTGATGGTGGCTAAAGCATAAGCAGAAGCAAATATCATGGTTGGCTGTGATGATGAAGAGGAGTAAAATTGTGGAATGTTATTAGTGGAGGAGCTTGTTTTGCAGCTTTCAGGATTACAAAAGTGTTGTAGCGATAAGGCAAGCACAGTGAAGAAACCATTTCAGGTACTATTGCCATTGCCACCATTTCAACAGCTAATTTATATGTTGAGCAGTCAACGAGTCCACACAAAATGCATGGATGACAACTTTTGAATCTCGAGAAAACCAGCTTCTTCTTTTCCATTAACATAAATGTTAAACTTCAGAAATACTGAAGATCCCCTTCTTGTGCTTTGGGCTACCAAAGGAAAAATAATCCCTTATTAGTTTTCTTGATTTTTTTCTTTGCCATCTTTCAACTATGAATTAAAATGCAAGATACAAGGAAAAATAACCTAAACCAAAACATACAAGGAACTGATTGCATTAACAAAATTATAAAAGGAAAAGAAAAGAAAGAAAAGAAAAAAAAAAAGAAAAAGAAAAAAGGAAAACACCAAAACCAGCTTTACCTTCTATTTAGACTTGAATTCATTTGATTGTCATCTTGTTTTGAAGCTAAAATGAAAGGAGAGATTAATTAGATGAGCCAATTTCTAAGTTTCCAACAACATGGTGAAAATAAATTTGATTGCTAAAAAAATCCAAGTCTTGAAATTTGACATTTATATATACATAAACTATGAATGATTATGGTTATGATGGAGCATGTTTTGTAAGAAATACCATAATAAAAGTTTTTGTTTTGTCTCTGAACTTGTGTGGCTAATAATCCTAAAAAGAATGAATAAGATTAAGTTAGAAAAGTTTAACTTCCTAAATTAATTCTAAAAAAAAACATAAATTTTTCTACAAATTTGAGAAAAGCTAGGTTTTACCGAAATATCAATGGAGGGGATGCGAGCAATGAGGGGCCAATAGTCTCCTTTCTTCTCAATGCATTGTCGTTCCAGCAACGGGCAGGCATCAACATAGAGTTGTTCAAGCAAGCGAGGCAGGCCTTCCTTTGGCAAGGACCGGAAGTTGTTGCATTTCGAAATCCATAAAAATTGAAGGGAGTCAGGCAGGGCTTCCTTTGGCAGCGTCTGCAGCTTTGGACAACTAGAAATTGTTAATCTGCGAAGAGAGTTGAGCTTTTGGAGGAGCCCTTGAGGTATGAATTTCATATTTTCAACATTACGCACCACAAGACTGGTTAAAGAAGTGGGAAGCACATTATCTGGAGGACATATCCAATCAATCTCTAAAGTTTGAAGAGAACTGAGGCTGCTGAGGCCCCATTCCTGCATCGGCTTCTTCAGATTCTTGCAATCAATTATCAGTTTTTCAAGGTTTGGAGGAAAACCACAGTCTGGAATGGACTCAATCCCTGGGCATTTGCAAATTTGAAGAGATGTTAGGTTCGGAGGCAAACCACCGTCTGGTATGGACTCAATTCCTGAACAATTCCTTATTTCTAATTCATCGAGAGAGTTAAGGTCCTGTAGCTTATCAGGTAAGGACTTGAGATTCTCGCAAGTCCTTATAAAAAGTCTCCTAAGGTTTGGGGGAAAACCACCATCTGGTATGGACTTAATTCCTGGGCAATTGCTAATTTCAAGATATGTTAGGTTAGGAAGCAAACCACCGTCTGGCATGGACTCAATTCCTGGACAACTCGTTATATCTAATTTATCAAGAGAGTTGAGGTCCCGCAGCTTCTCAGGTAAGGACTTGAGATTCTTGCAATCAAATATGATTAAGCTTTTAAGATTGGGGATAAATGGGCAGAGCAAGTCCAGACCATCTAAGTTTTCTATCCTTGAAGAAGCGACGCAGTAAAGTGTCAATGGAGTATTATAACCCATAGTTGTATCATGACCACAGATATAAATTTCTTCAAGTTGCCTATAATTCTGCAGCATTCTTTGGGGGATAAATTCCAATTGCTTGCAATCACCGACAAAAAGGCGTTTAAAAGAATTGGGTAGGTGGCCAGCTGGAAAAGATTTCACACAAGGACAACGGTCAATCCTTAATTCTTCAAGATGTGACACTTGACATACATCACCATTATTCATCAATATTCCTTCTGGTAAGGATTCTAGCTTTTCACATTCTCTAATGTCTAGGATTTTAAGCATGGTGGGTAACTTGTTTCTTGGAAACATTCTGAGAGCAGGGCATCTCCATATCCTTAATTTTTCAAGTCGCACCAGATTGACTCCTTCCTCCCACAAACAAGTGAGTTCATCACATTCTTCAATTTGCATATCCTCGAGTGCTACTAAGGACTCAACAAAATTCTTGGGCAACCAAATCAACTTAGAAATTCTACTGATTCTCAATGTTTTGAGTGAGTTGAGGTCAATCATACTCCTCAAGCTTGCCTCACCACAGCTTTTGACACACAACTCTTTAAGTGATGGAAGACTTATGGGTGAATATATTAGCTCTGGGCATCTGACAATCTTTAGCTTTTTAAGGCTAGGAATGCATTTTGGAAAATTTCCTTCCAATATGGGGCAATCTTGCAATTTCAAACTCTTCAACGATGGAAAAGCCTGAGCTGAAGAAGAATTGTCCTCATCAAGCATCATAGTTTGTATTGCATGTATGCCTACCAAAAAAAAAGAGAGAAAAATCAATTGAAAAAAATAAATAAATAAAAACAAGCAACATTAACTAAAGAATCAAGAGAATTTTCTTCGATGCCTGTAATGATCAATTCTTTGAGTTGTGGTAATCGCTGGAGTGATGGTAATGAAGTGCATTTTTGACAATTGTTGAGCTCCAAGTACTCTAAGTTGGAAAATAATGGATCACCTATCCAAGGTGGGAATTTCAATCCACCAAAACAATTGATTGTCAATCTTTTCAAACCTTGATGAGGTTTTAACCATCTGAGGACCTGCATTTCAGTGCTTTGATTTCGACCGTCATGGAAGTCAGAACACCATTCCAAGGATAAGTCATCCAATCCCTCAATCTCAGACAAATTGGCCTCCTTTGCATCATTAGCATCCAAAACATTTTGTAAATCCAAAATGGAAAGCTGGCCTTGAAAACATGACAAGTTCTTCAAATCTTTCACTCTTGGTCCTCGAGCATTTCCAACAATAAATTTTGACAATGTTACAAGACTTGTCAAATTACTGATTTCTGATGGGAACTCTTTTAAAGACCATGTCCCAACTAAATCAAGATGTTGGAGATCAAGTAGATTTCCAATAGTGGTAGGTAACTTGGAAACCCTTTGGCAATACCTTAACAACAATGTTTGTAAGTAAGGAAGGTAACCCACAGAATCAGGAAGACTTTCAATGTTTGTACAAGACAAATTAATGTATCGCACATGCTTCAAGTCTCCAATCTGATCAGAGAGCTCTGTTATTTGATAATTCTCAAGAGACAACACCCTTAAACATTTTAGATTTTTCATCAAATCTCCCAAGACTGTGTTGGATAAGTAATAAAACCTAGAATTCTCTAACGGCAGGAATGTACGTAAATTCTTTTTTTCCTTCAGAAATTCAAATCTTTTGGATACTTCATAATGACAAGGAAATAATGACAAATGACGGGATTTTTGGAAGCCCACATTCGATATTTTTCCATCTAATTCAAGGGTGCAACATGTTTCTCCAGCAACATAAATGGCCAAATCAACCATGAGGTCATGCATCACAAACAATGACTCATTTCTACTGGATCGTTGAAAAAAAGCCCTCAACAGTAAATCACGGAAGCACTCCTTTCTCTGTGGTTGTTGTTGCAAGAATCCTTCTGCCGTCCATAATTTAACCAACTCACCTTCATCAAATTCATAATTTTTAGGAAACAGAGAACAATAGGCAAAGCATCTCTTCAAATGGGAAGGAAGGTGATTATAGCTCAATTGCAAAGCAGGAAGAATGCTACCATTACCAACCAGTAGATCCCATATCTCACTGTTCAATATGTTTTTCCACTCTGGATGTGCCTTACGACGCAAGAGGCCACCAAGGGTTTTTATAGCCAATGGCAATCTTTTGCACTTTTCAACAATTTTCTCACCTACTCTTTTGAGATTTGGGTGTGCATCAAAGTTTTCTGGCCCCAGTGCATGACGAGCAAATAATGATAAACACGCATCATTCTCTAGCAATGCTAAACTGTGAACTTTATCATTTCCCTTCATCATCTTCCCAATATCTTCGTCTCGAGTTGTGATGATTATTTTACTTCCAAATGCTCCTGACCAAAATGGCCTCTGTAACTCCTCCCACAAGTCATACTTTTTATTCCAAATGTCATCTAGTACAAGAAAAAACCTTCGGTTAGAGAGCTGCTCCTTCAATCTAACTTGAAGTGAAGAAGGATCTTCTAAATCACACTTTTGCCTGGTTACTTGCTCTAAGATGGCTCTTGTGATCCTGTAAACATCAAAATCCTCAGACACACAAACCCACGCTTGCAATCCAAACCTACCCTTCAATTTGTCATCATTGTAAATGAGCCGAGCAAGAGTGGTCTTTCCAATTCCTCCCATTCCAACAATGGGAATAACAGAGTATGGCTCATGTCTGCCTTCATCACTGAGCAAAATTTCAAGAATAGCCTCTTTATCATTTTCTCGACCATAGACATGTTGTTCAAGCAAAGGAGTAGTGGGCAATCTTTCTGCAGTAACTTTGTGGGGCTTATCTCCAGTTCTCACAGCTAAACGGACCGGGTTCAGTTTACTTATGTTTGCTTCAATACCTCGCAATCTAGCAGTTATCTCCTCCACCCTGGATGCCATATCTGGGTCTTCTTTAACCGTAGATCTTCCACCCGTGTTAAAAAATGTGAAAAGGGTCAGTTTCTGTCGCTTACTGGTGCTGGCTGGGACTTCTGCAGACAAGTCAAACCTCTTGGCAGCAATCTCGACCTCTTCAAGTATGTCCTCCATATCATAAAACAAATCCTTGAGATCAGCAAGCCATAACTTGACCAAGCGGTCGCTTACTTGCTTCTCTTCAGCGTCTTCAAGTAGAGCACCGATTTGTGGCCAAAGACTCTTCCAGTTTTGCATCTCGGCACAAACTTTCTTGGGTGAATTCAGCCATTCACTAGCAAAAGAATCCAACTTTGAGAACAACGACTCGAACATTACTGACAAAAAAGCGCCTCCAGCAAGGTTTGCAATTTCCATAGTTCGATTTGAATGGGACAAGCAATATTCTGCAAGAATGATGTGTGATTGATCATTTGAACAAGTCTTCAATTTATCTAGTATCATATATTAGTACTGTTTTGAAAATTTTGTCTTATATCTCCCTATAATGAAATTGAAAAATAAGAACAAAAGAAATTAGATCTAAAAATGCTTCTTCTTTTTTGTTGTCCCTAATGAAATTAAGAAATAACTAAATAAAAAATAACAAGAAATATCTGTTTGTAATGAAATTAAATTAAGCAGATTTGTTTTGGAACTCGAGGGTAGCAACAGTAATATTTGAAAAGAAAAGCAAAGGACGACATACAAAGTTACAAACAAAAATTAGAAGCACATACGTAAATATAAAATAAGTACCTTAATTTCAATGCTAAAAGCTGAGGAGATGCCTTCCAAGTTCGAACAAGATTAAAAAAAAAAAAGAGTGATGAGTTTGGATGGTGGAAGAGGCAGAATGCAGAGAAGCGTCCTGGATATATTCTGCTTTGATTTTAGCCGAGTAATTGCTCTTCTTTGATTGATTCCATTCCACAGGTTTCTACTAGAAACAAGGAAAAGGGCGACAATTTATCTGAGATGCATAAACCAAAAATCATATTATAAAGAAAGGAAAAAGGTGGAAGTATTAATCAAAAATTATATGAGATGCCCGTAATTAAGTAAATACATAAGTACTTCCTTTGATTATTTTTAATAGTACTAATTTGATTTTGTGATTTTTAAATATAAATTTTAAATAAAATTTTAATATATTATAAAAATAATAATTAAAATTTTACAAAACAAAAATTATATGAGATGCCCGTAATTAAGTAAATACATAAGTACTTCCTTTGATTATTTTTAATAGTACTAATTTGATTTTGTGATTTTTAAAT